TCCTTGCATGCCGCCAGTATAAGCTTGCCAGCATCATTAACCCTTTTATCGCCAAACTTTCCAAGTACCGACTCGTACCCTGGTCGAGCGGTACCAACCCATCCATTCAAATCACCACATACAACAATCCTTTCGTTTCCCCTAGCCAAATCTAGAACTTCTCTTACATTCTCCCAAAACTCCTCCAGCTCAGCCCTGGACGACGAAGCCACCGGCGCATAAACAGCCAAAAGGAATAACTTCGTCAGTCCCAATTTAAAGCGAACCCAGAGAAGTCTTGAGTTCACAAACTTATATTCAGTCATAACATCGACCAACCGAGAAGACAGCAGCACCCCCACTCCCTGGCAGGCGTTCTCGCTTACCGGGACTCCGGACCATAGAGCATGGTACTCTTCAGTACCACTGCCCTTCCGTTTGGTCTCCGACATACACATGACATCTAATTCTCTTTCTTTCATTATTTCGATCAACTCATTCGTCTTATCTCTCATGCCTCCTCTAACATTCCACGTGCCAACTCTACACTCCGTCCTCCACCTTCCGCCGTGTCGGGCTGTGCGTGACGGGTGGCGGTCCCCATCGCCGCTTTGCGCGCTGCATTCCACACCAACGGGGACGAGCTGGTGTGCGTCGCCTTGGGGGGACGCCCTAACCCTCGTTGACATGGGTGCGCAGCTGAGTAGAATTGCAGCCCTGAAAAGGGCTGCCAGGGGTCACGACGAGCACGCTTCTACAATGACCCCCTAAATAAATATTGTCTACGGCCTTTTTAGGTTTTTTATATCTTGTAAGTTGTTGTCATGGTTACGAAAAATAACAAGAAAAATGTAAGACTAGTTTTTCGTAATAAGTATATTTTTGTTAGAAGATTAAATGTTTCAAGTCTAAGAAATCTTCTTATTTCAATGTGAGGAGCTACATACAACGGTCATACAGAAACTCCCCACATAATGGCGACCGTGAAAGCGGATAGACCTGGACAAACCGAACTCGACGCTATGAGGCGTAAAAGGGCATACACACGTCGAGTATTCATCAGGTCAGTGCGAGAGATAGAGGAGTCGAATGATATTGAGCAGATGACTGTCAAATTCCAGTATCTTGTAGAGAAATTGGAAGAGTTAAAATCTTTTGACAGTCAAATAAAAAATATGACGATCGATTCTTGCACGGATGAGCAATTTGATGAAGAATGTGACGAATGCGAATCGTATTTAAGGAAGTATTATGCAGTAAAAGTTAAGATTGAAAAATTACGAAAGGAATGTGATAGAGCAAATACATCTTCAGCGGCTACTGACGGATCTCATCAGAAGAGAAACATAAAGCTACCGAATATCGAGCTCATAAAATTCGATGACAATCCGAAAACGTGGTTATCTTTCTGGGGACAGTTCAAAAAGATACACGAGGACGAGACTCTTGAACCAGAAGATAAGTTCCAGTATCTCATACAGGCTATGAAGGAGGGGTCCAAAAGCAGAGAGCTCGTAACTAGCTACCCTCCGTCTGGCAAGAATTACCCAAGAGCGCTGGAGCAGCTACAGGGACGATTTGCTCGAGAAGGTATCCTCATCGAGACGTATGTGAGAGAGCTGCTAGGTCTCGTATTATGTCAGGCTAAGGGACAAAATATGGATATAAGATCGCTTTACAACCAGTTGATGGATCCATTTGCACGCTTTAGAGTCACTCAAAGTAACAACGGAAAAGTACGGAGCGATGTTGTATCCATTAGTCGAATCAGCTTTACCTGAAAATATTTTAATTGTTTGGAATCGAACTAGAATTGTAAACGATGTTGGTCAATTAACGCAACTTTTAGAGTTCTTAAAACGAGAAGCCGAGGCCGAGGAACACATTAAATTGACGCGCGCTAACTTTAATACTTATAGTTCTTCCAGCAGTGTTGATATGCCGCCGACAGCAGCTTGCATCGTTTTGAAAGAGGAGACAAGTTCCAGTAAAACAGGTAATGACTTTTGCTATTTTTGTGATAATACGTCTCATTCGATTCTTCAATGTAATAAAGGGCTCAAAATGTCTTTAGATGAAAAGAGAGCCGCTGTCAAAGATACGAGGGGTTGTTTAATTTGTTTACGTAAAGGTCACGTAGCTAAGCACTGCAAGACGTTTTTAAAATGTATGGCCTGCGGTAAACGTCATGTAGTGATATTTTGTCCGGACCTTCATAGGGATAAACAAAATGAACCCAAAGAAGCGACAGCACTTTTCTCTAGGAAAGGCAGAAATATTTTATTACAGACTTTGATTTTAGAGGTTTCACATGAGGGTAAAAAGAAGAAAATACGTGCTCTGTGTGATACTGGATCGCAAAGGTCGTATATTAGGAAAATCGTAGTAAAAGAGTTAGGCCTTAAGGTAGTAGGTATAGAGAATTTAGGTTATTCACTATTTAGTGGTGTTACTAAGCCAGCAGAAAACCACAGTCTTGTCAAAGTGAATGTAAGTAGTCTAGATTCTTCTTTCTCTACAAAATTCATTGCTCTTGAACTCGACGACATTTGTGGCTATCTTCCCAAAGCAGACGATCCCAAGCTAAGGTCAAAGTTAAAGTCACTGAATATAAGTATTGACGACAGTGACTGTGACCTTAGCGATGTAAATATGTTAATAGGAGCTGATTATTTAGGAGTAATTTGTACGGGCACTATTGTACAATTAGATGGGCCTTTAGTGGCTGTTAAGACGAGGCTAGGATGGACATTTACAGGGCCCTAACTTTTATAGTGCTGCACAATGCTCAATGACTTTCGATTGTCACGCTCAGAGTAAACTTTCAGATTTGTGGGATTTAGAGATATTAGGGATTTCAGAGCCACATGAACAGATGTGCAAAGATAGGAAAAAAGAAGAGGTAATGAGTCAATTTGAGCAGAATATTAGTTTTAAAGACAATTGTTACCAAGTAGGGTTTTTGTGGAAAGATGGTTACCCCGAAATAGGCAGTAATTACAATGTAGCTTATAAAAGACTTTTAACGACGACTAGGAAGTTAGAGAGGACTGGTCATTTGCTAAGTTATAACGATGTTTTTCAGAATTGGTTAGACGAAGATTTTTGTTTTATTTACTCTTGTAAACGACGTAGTAAGGTGCAGTAGTAATCAGAGTTTATATTCTGACCCCTTTCAAGATAATCAATCATAATCACACCTTTCGAGTCCCAGAATACTGAAGCCATCACCTTATTTGCCGACAAAATCGACTTAGCCTTTTTAGGGGGTGGTGAACCAGGTCTTCTCCACTGTTTTGATTGTTGTTTTGTTTCCGGTGTACAGTAATGAACCCATGTTTCGTCCATAGTAACAAAACGATTCAAAAAATCATCTGCATCGGCTTCAAATAACTCCAAACAGTCGCGTAACATAGTCAATCGCGTCCTTTTTTGTTCAAGTGAAAGCAGTCGCGGAACCCACCTCGCAGACACCTTGTGGAAACCCAACTCGTTGACAATGATGTTTTGAGTTCGTTCATAAGAGATGCCTATAATCTCGGCTATCTTTCTAATTTTTAATCTGCGGTCTCCCATTATTAAATCAAGTACTTTTTTAATATTTTCGTCAGTAGTTGACGTCGAAGGCCTTCCAGAGCGGGGTTCATCTTTCACACTCTCTCTACCACGCTTAAATTCTGCTATCCATTTTTTGACGGATGAATATGACAGAGCACAATCGCCTAATGTACTGACCATGTCATCATAGATGGCTTTTGATGATAGCCCCTTCTTATGGAGGTACTTAATGACGGCATGCTGCTCGATTTGCTCCATTCGCGGAAATTATGTCCGATTACTTTGTTAATAAATTTATAAAATCACAACTAATTATCGCACACGTTTCGAACTTCACACAATGAACTAGTCTGAACTGAACTAAATAATGTGGTTAGATTTGATTTTTAGAATTGAATGGATCTGTGTTAGGCCGAGTACTTTTCAATCCACCCTCGTAGAACATACTGAAAACAATATAGCAGAAGGACACTTTATTCCTCATCACGCAGTCATTAAGATGTCTAGGACTACAACGAAGATACGTCCAGTATTCGACGCATCGTGTAAAGATGCGCAAGGATTGTCTTTGAATAACTGCATCGAATCGGGTACCAATCTTATAGAACTAATCCCTAAATTATTGATGAACTTTAGGAAAGGTACGTACGGCGTCACGTCGGATATAAAGCAAGCCTTTCTGCAAATTTTAGTTTCAGAGAAAGATAGAGAGTATTTAAAGTTTCTGTGGTGGGAGAATCCGTTGACCAAAGAGAAGATAGTCACTTTCAGACATAAGAGAGTAGTATTTGGGGTGACTTGTAGTCCGTTTCTCTTGGCGGCTACGATTAATTATCACTTAGGCAATTTTGAAGGAATGTACGGTCAGACAGTTGAAATTTTGAAACACTCCTTTTATGTTGATAATTGTGTAGCTAGTTTTGATACAAAAGAGGCTTTATTTACTTTTATAGACGAAGCTAAGGAAGTTATGCTAAAGGGGGGTTTTGATTTACGATGTTGGGTTACCGCTCCTATTAGAGTAGATAACACTGTCCAGACTCAATCTGTATAAGGAGTGCTATGGAATACTCTTACGGACGAATTACAGCGTAGTTTCCGTCTTAATAGCACTATACCAGATCGGGTCACGAAGAGAGATCTTTTGTCATTAACTCAGCAGATATTTGAACCTATTGGATTTCTTGCACCTGTTACCCTAGTGCCTAAACTAATAGTACAAAAGGCTTGGATAGATAGTACAGGTTGGGATCAAGCTATCAGCAACGAGTTATCGAAGGAATTTAAGAGTTGGCTAAATTCATCTGATAAATGATTGCAAGTTGCCGAGACGCTTATCAGAGGAGAGGTTGACGACCTGTAACAAAAGTTTACATTTGTTTTGTGACGCATCTATTAATGCTTATGGAGGTTGTGTCTTTCTTCGGACCGAATGCAAAAGTAAAGTTACGATTAGGCTGGTTATGGCCAAAAGTAGAGTAGCGCCAATTAAAAGATCAATAACTTTACCTAGATTGGAGCTAATGGGAGCGCTTATTGCATCGCGGCTTGCAAATGAGATAAGTAGAACGTTGTTTACCGACGACACCTGCCCGTTATATTGTTGGACAGACTCCGCGGTTGTGTTAGCCTGGATCCAAAGACAGTGTTCTTGGAAGCCGTTTGTGAGCAATAGGGTAAGTGAAATTAGTGCTCACACTAAGAAGGAACATTGGCGGCACGTACCGGGCCACTGCAATCCGGCAGACCTACTTACACGTGGCTGTAATATGAAGACATTAATGGACAGTCACTGGTGGGATGGCCCTGCTTGGCTATTATGTGACCAAGAACTGTGGCCTCAGTCTAATCACATCGCAGTAGATGAGAACGCTGTTTCCATAGAAATGAAGAAAGGAGATATAGTTTTAGTAGAGACAGACGCGAAAAGGCTATTTTGGCCCTTGGGGTTAATCATGGAAGTAGTTACCGGGGCTGATGGTGTTACTCGTTTGGCTAGAGTCAAGACTCAAAAAGGTGAAACTTTAAGACCATGTCAGAGATTGTATCCGCTTGAGATTTCAAATGATTCTGACCTCTTGCAACGAGCTGAAGTAACGATAGAGGATAAGAAGTTATCAGTAAGTTCAGATAGTCCCGACTTACCCTCCTCGGATACAGGTGGCGCGAAGGTGACGAAAACAACGCGGTGCGGTCGAAATGTGAAATTGCCTGCTCGGTAGTTATGAATTACATTTGGTTTTATGGTTTTCCTTAGTATGTTGAGTAGCGTTAATTGGTTACCATTTTCTTTCGGGTCTGGAGTGTGTTGAGGATAAATAAATATTGTCTACGGCCTTTTTAGGTTTTTTATATCTTGTAAGTTGTTGTCATGGTTACGAAAAATAACAAGAAAAATGTAAGACTAGTTTTTCGTAATAAGTATATTTTTGTTAGAAGATTAAATGTTTCAAGTCTAAGAAATCTTCTTATTTCAATGTGAGGAGCTACATACAACGGTCATACAGAAACTCCCCACACCTAGCAAAATTACGCAGACGCACTATAACTGCCTTTACTTTTGGTGGTTTAATTTTATAGGAAATAAACAGCAAGTCATGTCGCGAGAAACCTGGAGCGGGGAGCTGTCCGTGGCAGGCAATGCGTTCTTCTGAGGAGAAAAATATCAAATCTAACAATGTATCATTAGCAGTAAGATTGTGATGGGTGGCATCAAGTGGAAGTATTGAAAAATTTGCCGACTCAATAATTGAACGCAATCCACGCGATCTAGGAGTATCACTGAGAAGATTCGTGTTAAAGTCACCCATCAAAATATGATGTTGATAATCAGAGCAAATTGAAAGAAGTGCCTCTTCAAATTCACATAAATAACTAGAATTCGGTGGACAATAAATTGCACCAAGCACAATTTTATTTCCACTAACAACAATCCCTAAAAAAATATATTCAACTGATCCAGTATATTTTGAAGGTGAGGCTGATAAAATTGTGTAAGGTATACCACTTCGCCGAGTGCGCGTTGGGGGGGGGTCTGCTCGAGTAGAATTACTGGAGCCCAGGCCCATGCACTGTTTTCGGTGCCTAGAAAGGGGGCACGTTGCCAGCAGGTGCTCCAGTAAAACAAACAGAGGCGCACGTTGTTATGCTTGCGGAGAGCAAGGACACAGGGCGAAACAGTGCACTGCGTCGGCACTAAAATGTCCCCTCTGTTCCGATCTTGGGCATTCTGCTGGCCACAGATTAGGGAAAAAGTGTATGCCTCCTCCCAAAAAAAAGAGAAGGAATAATGGTGAGATCTCTGCACCCACCATCAAGGCGGCCACAACGACTTCTGTCGCTGCTCCGAGTACTAGCTCGGTTATGGAGGTGGCTGAGTTAGAAATTCACACCCCTTAAAGTCCTCCAGGGCAACCTGAACCACTGCCGTAATGCGCAGCATTTGCTCATGCAAACCATTGCGGAGTGGCGGGTTGCCCTTGCAATAGTAACAGAGCCTTATGCCGTCCCCGATCATCCTCGCTGGTTCGGTAACGAATCGGGCTCCGTCGTTATCTACTGGAGGGGTGGAGAGGGTGCCCCACTCTGCGCTCTATTGAGAAGAGGGCAGGGCTTTGTTGCAGTGCAATGGGGCCCCTTGGCCATAGTGGGCTGCTATGTCTCTCCTAATAGGTCCCTTGCCGACTACGAGGCGTACCTAGACGAGGCGGCGAATTGTGTTCGCGAATGTCAACCTCATCCGTTGATCCCTCTGGGAGATTTTAATGCCCACACAAGGGCTTGGGGCAACTCTAGAGACGATCCCAAGGGAGAGACAGTGATGGTATGGGCGGCTGGACTGGACCTCCGATTAATGAATCAGGGGTCCGTAAGCACATGTGTACGGTGGCAGGGGGAGTCCATCGTGGATCTTAGGTGGGCAACTCCTCCTGCAATGCAAATGCTGTCGGGCTGGCGAGTGGCAGAGGAGGTGGTCACTTTGTCTGACCACCGCCACATCGTATTCTATGTCGCACTTCGACAGCCCGACAGTAACCCCAGTCGCCGAGATAGCAGCCCACCGCGACGTTGGTGTCTCAAGCGGCTCGATCAAGATAAGCTCGAAGCCGCTGCCATCGTCGCGTCCTGGCCAGAAAACGCCGAAGAGGTCCAGTCCGATTCTGAAGGGGAAGCGAACTGGTTTCGGGGTACGATGGCGCAAATTTGCGACCTGTCGATGCCCAGAATCAGTCACCCTAAGCGCAAAGCAGTGTACTGGTGGTCAGCAGAAATCGCACGGCTCCGTGCAATCTGCTTACGGTGTCGGCGCCAGTACATTAGAGCCCAAAGGAGAAGACGGCGAGCTCCGCCTGAGGAGATAGCCAGACTGTACGGGGCGTACCGAGCGGCTACAAAGGCGTTGCAAATCGCCATTACCAACGCCAGGTCTCGGTCCTGGAAAGAGCTTCTGGAGGGACTCAACAAAGATCCCTGGGGGCGACCATACAGGATGGTGCTGGGTAAGCTCCGGCCCTGGTCGCCCCCTCTGACGAAGATTCTCGACCCGGATCTTCTGGAAAGGGTAATCAGCACGCTCTTTCCAGAGGACCGGTCAAGTCCCGAAGGTCACCTGCCGTCTCCATGGGAGTGGCAAGAGGAGATGGGGGTGACCGTTGAGGAGCTGGACCAAACCATTAGCCACCTAAAAGTCCGGAACACAGCACCGGGTCCCGACGGAATCCTGGGCCGGGCCCTAGTGCTGAGTCTGGCTGCTCTGGGGAACAGGCTCAGGCAGGTGTTTACCAGCTGTCTGCGGTGTGCCAAATTCCCCACAGCCTGGAAAGAGGCAAGGCTGGTTCTCTTGAAGAAGGACGGCAGGGCCGCAGATTCTCCCTCTACGTACCGGCACATATGCCTGCTGGACGAGATTGGCAAATTGATCGAGGATAGTTGCCACTCGGCTCAGTGGGCATCCGTCGCGCGTCGGTCCCGATTTGGCTGATAGCCAGTTTGGATTCCGACGGGAGCGTTCCACTGTAGATGCGATTATGTGCGTCCGCTCCCTGTCGGAACAAACAGTATCACGGGGTGGCGTGGCGTTGGCGATAAGTCTTGATATCGTCAACGCCTTTAACTCTACAACCTTTTAACGGTGGTAGAGCCACGCAGCAGTTTTTGCAGTTGCATGTATGGGCCGGCTCGAGCCGGGTTGGTACCACGACCTCACAGAATACCGGCGTGAAGTAGAAGCTTTGCTTCTGCGTGTCGTCTGGTGAGTGCAGGTGGCCGGAGGCCCAATTCCCCCCCCCCCCCCCCCCATTAACATGGTAGCGGAGACAGCGACGACCATCCGCGCGTCTACGGGTGCCTCTATAGGTCCCATAGCGGTAATGCCGAAACAGACCGACTCATCGACCACGTCCAAATGGCTACAGATTTCTTGCTACAACAGGTCCCATCCGCAGAGATCGTGATCCTTGGCGATTTTAACGCCCACCATGCCGAATGGCTCGGTTCACGTCTAACCGATCATGCGGGGAGATCTGTTTATGACTTTGCCTTGGCATATGGTTTGACACAACTGGTTACTTCGCCTACGCGGATTCCAGATGTGGAGGATCATACACCTTCCCTGTTGGACCTTCTGCTGACCTCTCATCCGGACGGATATCAGGTTTCCGTCGATGCCCCTCTCGGCTCTTCGGACCATTGTCTGATCCGGAGTGTGGTGCCACTCACGCTCCCTTCGCGGTTGCGTTCTGCAGGTTGCCGCCGTGTTTGGCATTACAGGTCGGCGGATTGGGACGGAATGCAGTCCTTCTTTGCATCCTACCCATGGGGGCGGGTTTGCTTCTCGCCGGATGATCCCAGCGCTGTTGCTGACTCTGTCACTGATGTGGTGCTACAGGGAATGGAACTATTTATTCCATCATCTGTGGTACCCATCGGAGGCAGATCTCAGCCTTGGTTTGGTCGCTCCTGTAAGACTGCATTACGCAGTAAGCAGGAGTGTTATCAAGCCTGGGCTGCGGCTTCGGCGACTCGGGATGTAAATACCAGCACACTTAAAAAGAAGTATAACTTCGCCTCCAGGTCCTTCAAAAGAGTTATTGCCAAGGCAAAGTCAGAGCACATGGGCAGAATTGGCGAGAAACTAGTTCGCCTTCCTTCGGGAACACGTGCATTCTGGTCTCTCGCCAAGGCTGTTCAAGGGAATTTCTGTAAGCCACCACTACCATCTCTGCACAGGGAGGATGACTCACTGGCCCATGACGCAAAAGACAAAGCCGACCTTTTAGGCTCCCTTTTTGCGTCCAACTCGACTCTTGATGACGGGGGGAAAACACCGCCGACCATCCCGCGGTGTGAGTGCTCCATGCCGGATGTGCTGTTCTCACAGCGCTCGGTTCGCAAAGCACTGCTCTCCCTGGACATCCAGAAGTCGAGTGGGCCTGACGGAATCCCCCCAATTGTGCTGAGGACGTGTGCTCCGGAGTTGGCACCGGTCCTAACGCGTCTTTTCCGGTACTCCTACTCCCAAGGCGTAGTCCCGAATTCATGGAAGACAGCTTTTGTCCACCCGATCCCTAAAAAAGGCGACCGCTCAGACCCATCCAACTATAGGCCTATCGCGATCACCTCCTTCTTCTCCAAAATAATGGAATCCATTATTAAATGCCAGCTCATCCAGTACCTTGAGGATCACCAGCTGATTAGTGACCGCCAATACGGTTTTCGTCGGGGTCGATCAGCTGGTGATCTTCTGGTCTACCTGACCCATAGATGGGCGGAGGCAGTAGAGTCCAAGGGGGAGGCGTTGGCCGTTAGTCTGGACATTGCGAAGGCCTTCGATCGGGTTTGGCACAAAGCGCTTCTTTCAAAGCTCCCTTCCTATGGGCTTCCCGAGAAATTGTGCAATTGGATCACCAGCTTCCTTGCAGATCGGAGCATCAAGGTCGTTGTAGACGGTGCATGCTCTGACTACAAGCCTATTAACGCTGGTGTTCCACAAGGCTGTGTGCTATCACCAACGCTGTTTCTTCTGCATATCAATGATATGTTGCTAACTGGTAACATTCATTGCTATGCGGATGACAGCACTGGTGATGCTCTATACACCGGCCGTGCCAATATTTCTCGGGAAAACGTCGCTGAGTACCGGAACAAACTTGTGTCTGAAGTCGAGTCTTTGCTGAACAAAGTCTCGGATTGGGGGCGACTAAATCTAGTCCAATTTAATCCT